TTTGTTTCGTGCTGATGTTTTATGTAGCAAATAAATAACACCTAAAGTCAGACCATTCTGTTTTAGTTTTAAATCGTGAAATTAATCTAAATCAAATCAAAAACAACTGCCCGTGCAGATCATGATTAAAATGCAGTGGTTGCCTCTAATTTCAAATGGCTAGATATTTTTGTTTAAAGCCAGTTTGTTTGTTATAAAGCAAATAGCCAATAAATAAATTTGCTTAAAAATCAGTATCAGTAACCAATTTGCTAGTTAAAAAAAAAAAAAAAAAGGAACAGGATTCCCTAAATTATCGTCATTGATATCATTATCGCAATAAATATCAGAAATTTCCGTGATATATTTTAAAGCCAATATCGCCCATCCCTATCTGGAACAGTGTTGTAAATACAACTTAACCACTGATTTCTAGTCGTGTCCTCTTTTGGAAGACCAAATAAAGTAGTTTCGCTTTCACAACGAAACACACGGCGGCCTAGAGTGAGGAACGTGAGCGGCCACTTCAAAGAGAAAGGAAAAATTGAAATCGCATCATATGACCCCTTTAATGTTAAACTCATTAACTTTCAAGAAAAATGTCGAAATAAGATGTTGAGATTAAACTCATTAAATTTTGAGAATAAAGTAATTATGTTTCGCGATAAAACTCATTAAATTTCGAGGAAATAAGTCGAGATAAAATGTTGAGAAGTCGTTAAATTTCTAGAAAAAAGTTGCTAAATTGAGAAAAATATCGAGATAAAACGTTGAGAAAAGTTATTAAATTATGATAAAAAAGTCGAAATAAAATGTTGAGAATAAAGTCGTTAAATTTCTAGAAAAAAAGTAATCGTGTTTCGAGAAAAAAGCCTGTTAAATTTCGAGAAAAAAGTAGAGAATAAACACTCGTGTCATTCATTTCATCTCGTTGGACAGAGTCAAATAGCGTCTGCAGTGGCGTAGGTTGGAGAGTAATGAGCAGGGATGTAGCGCGTGATGCGGTCGACTAGTGTTCGAAACCGTCTTTAGCAGAACTCGCTTTTCTTCCTTTTCTCATCACATATCACACCGGAAAAGTGGAAATCAATTGCTTTATTTATAATATATAATTGCAATTTAATCTCAACATTTTATTTCAACATTTTTCTTGAAATTTAACGAGTTTAATCTCGTATTATAATGACTTTAATCTCGAGATGGTTTTATTTTTTTAATATTGCTTGGCCCTAATCCTCTTCCATATAAAATACATTTAATGTATTTTAAAATGTATTTTACAATTAACTAAATTATTTGGTATTAATAAGTCTGAATAATTGATTATTATAATGGTTTCTGAAGGTTAGTGACTATGTACAGTAGACTGGAGTAATGGCAAATGAGAATGCAAAAAAATTAATCTTTCAAAAAATATCCATTTTAAAATCTATTCAAATAGAGAACAATTATTTGAAATTGTAATATTTCACAATATTACTTAACAGTCTTGCTGAGTATATGAGACTTTAAAAAAAAAGTAAATATTCCAAACTTTTGACCAGTAATATAACACAATATAATATATATATTTTTAGAACTGTAAGCATTATCCAACCCTAAACGGTTGGATTTTTTAATAAACGGTAGCTACCTTTTTATGGTCAGCCCCTAAGATATCCGTTTTGACTGCCAGAGCATTGACTCATGCTGGAATAACTAGAGTCGGAACAAAGACGCATGTCAATCCACATCCACCCACCTAAAACACCCTGAAACCATCCTGCTTTATTCTCTTGCTCGTCTTCCCAACTGCCAGAGCGCCGGGTGCCATTTGAAGGCGAGGTGTAGCATTTGCACTGCCTTGATCATCAGTGTGTGTGTCCAAGCTCTCAGTGGGGAATTCTGGCTGGCATCTCTTCTGGAATTGGCAGCGCTATTTGTCAGACAAGGAACGACTCTTGCAGAGATGAGCATCTTTAAATGTCAACATCATTGGAAAGGCGCACAAATAGACCAAACATTATTTTTTTTAAAAGTTATTTGCTTTTTTGCTGAAGAATCAGCAAAAGCCACTCCAGAATTGCCACAGCCTTTTTGCACGGCAGGACTTCAAGTCCAACTAGCTTTAATCACAGTGATGCAGTGAGTCATAAGGGAAACTTGGCTCAAGGTTCACTGCAGGGATTTTGCAGAAAATCTCACTCATGTTGACAGTCAAGCAAGTGGCGCGCCAATCGATAATAAGGTCTACAGTTTGAGCAAAAGGTCAGTCAACAACTTTCATCAAATTTCGGACATCACTGAGATCAGACACTATCATTTCTTCAGTAGAGTAGACGCTGCTACTTCAGTGCAGAATAAAGTGCTGAATAATGTTATTTATAAAATCACATCAGTGCAACGCATCCCTGGAGGACCGGTCTGACATTTGAGGCTAAAATCCACTAAGTGGTTCCATCGTCAGGGTGCTAAGTCGAGTCCAGCATTCAGGCTACTGTGGAGGAAATGTTCTCTCGGTGAGGGGGAATCTATACACACGGGAACCGTCTCTGTCTCTTTCACGCTCAGCATGCTTAAATGGAGTCATCACCCCATGAGAAGTCAGGTTGGGAATGGTCTAAATGTACCAGACCAAGTCACATGTGATAGGGAGAAAGAGATGATGGACACTTATTGGATGTGGATCCAGCTGAGGGCCATTTCCACACCCGTACAGAACAGGTAGGTAGGGAAGGAAGGTGGACAATAACCCTTCTCCCTTCTGGAACAAGCGATGGAGAAGATGACCGCATTCTGGAGTGAGAGCAAGAGTAAGAGGGTCAATGACATATAAGGATGTCCACCGTAAAGAAAAGGGATTTTTTTTTTTTTAATATGGTTTAACAAATGTGTCAAGTTCTTAGAAATGTACTCTTTGTATTCATGCTGGTTTCTTATAACGTTAACACAATTTTCAAGTGGTTTCAAAGGTGTGACCATCAAGAAAAAAAAACAATAACATTTACACATTAAAGATCCATACATATACATTATCAGTTATTAAAAAAAATTAAATTGATTTTTAAAAAGTAAAAAGAAATGTCATGAATTTCCATGAATAAATTAATAAATATAATTTTTCAAGTTTCAAAATTATATCAAGTTTTTGGAGAATCAGGCCACATTACATTCTTATTATTTTTAAAAATAGTTGTTAAAGCATAAATATTTTGGTTTTTGTATTACATTTTTAAAACCTGAAATAACTTTGCAATCATAAAAGGTTTCATTGTAAAAGGTTAAATTATTTTATGTTATGTTTTAAAGGGGTCATATGATGTTGCTAAAAAGAACATTATGTTGTGTATTTGGTGTAATGCAATGTGTTTATGCGGTTTAAGGTTCAAAAAACACATTTTTTCCACATACTGTACATTACTGTTGCTCCTCTATGCCCCGCCTTTCTGAAACGCGTCGATTTTTACAAAGCTCATCGTTCTGAAAAGCGAGGTGTACGCTGATTGGCCAGTTATCCAGTGCGTTGTGATTGGCTGAATACCTCAAGTGTGTGACAGAAATGTTACGCCCCTTACCATACTGTGATGCTGTCTCCCGGCACGACCAGACAAAACCAATAAAACCCATTACAAACGAGGCATTTGTTGCATCCAGTGGGGACATAATTACTGATTATAATGACTTATACTGTCTTTTTACGCGTTGCGTTGTGTATCGTGCCGCGTAAACATAAAACCATGTCTGCATTTGTGATCGGAGAAACGACAAACAACAAGCGCTACTCTACACTGCTCAAAACTCGATTTTGAATCATCAGTGGCAAATTCTTTAAACTCTTCTTTATGCACCAAGAGCTTGTAACACTCCAAAGAGAAAGGAAAAATCGAAATCGCATCATATGCGACCCTTTAATAAACTAATTACACAGTAATGAGGATGTGTCTATGATATTTTTATGAAAATCTTACAACAACAACAACAATAAATAAGGGTATGAACAGAAATTAATAAAAATTAATAACATTATAAAAAATTATATGAATTTAATTTTCATTGAAAGAGGCTTTTTTGCTTCATTATGATTATCGGGACAGGTGTATACTATGACTTTAATTTATGTTAAAAATATCAAAATGAAGATTAATTCACAACTTATAATTAAATAAATAAATAAAGCTAATAAAACTTCATCAGAGGTCTCTTTATGAATCGCATTTTATTAACAGGTAGGACAAAAACAAGAAAACAAGAGCATCACGTCACTGACCCAATTGTTACCGTTTTCTAAAAACAAAGAGGTTCATCTTTAGACAAACACCAATAACTTTAAGATGAGGTTTTCAGGATGAAGCACAAAAAGAGAACCCAATTCAAAAGGATAGTTCGATATCCTAAAGATTATCTCTCATGACAAGAATTCTCAAAGAAATTACGTGTAGAGTGAATCGATGGAGAAAATATAGAGGATTAAGTGGAAAAAGCAGGGATTCTTTTTGTTTTGCGTCAGCACCGCGCTCTCTGAGTTGAAGGATGGCTCCCAGGGGCAAGGCCTGTAGGCCTCATTCCCCCCACAGCATGCAGAGAATTCCTGATAGTACCGCACATTATGAGAGCGGAACAGGCTACTCAGCGAATCAGATAATTGAGTTGAACAGCAGCTGGGGAGGAAAAGAGCGAGAGAGCAGTGGTAGCATCTCTGCTGAACGTTACGGGGGGAATACATTTCAACCCAACAACCCAGTCGACGGCTCTTTTCCCGGTCTCCACCCTACTTGGAGAACATTTGAGCACTTGAAGCATGTTAGCACATGTGGCCTGCTGGTGATTGCCCTGGATCGTGACGAGAGTGCACTGAGATTGTTGAGATGGCTTATTGTTCTGGGACCGTGAAAGGAACATGAGGGGCTGCCAGGAAAACTGGGGGATGTTTAATTGTGAATGAGTGCGTATGTCTGAGAATGTTAGTAGCATTACGACTGCACCGAGCAACAAAGGGCACGCATGTGAAGCCCATGAGAGAGACTGATCGATACCAGGTGCTTGTTCCATTTATATGAAGGTATTTTTGGTGCAAAACAACTGAGCATCTGTGACAGCGGAATTTGTACTAGTAGAGAATAGCCACACGTGTATCAGTAAATTTGAAGTCACATACAAAATTTTTTTTTCTCTCCCACAAACACAACACAACATTTACACTTTCTCAAATCCTTGAGAAACTTCGAATCACAAATCAAGAAACTCATACGCTCACATGTTTTGCTACTATTGCTGCAGTGAATATGGTGCAAAACACATTCACACACCTGCATTAAAAATGTGAAGTCACGGACGAATTTTGTACATCTGCAAATCAGTATGTGAATTCCTGCAATGAGATTTGCACGCTTGTAGAATGTTTTCTTATATATATTTTTTTTTCTTGGATGTTTTTTCTAGCACAAACACAAGTGCATAACGACAACGGCATGAATCTGCTGCTACTAGTCTCAAACCTGTTTTTCACTTGCAAATGACAAGTTTCGCGCACTCTCCCTTTTGCACTACATATCTGTGTGAAATATGGTGCAAAAGTGATTTTTGCATCTGTAGAAGCAACGGCAGGCACTCTTCAGAGATCAGAGAATTTTGGCCAATCAGAAGAGCTACACTGTATTCGGTTTTTGTTATTCTTTATAGTTCTTGTTTTTTTTTATGTTCAAGTTTGTGGATCTTATCGTCTGCAATGTCGGGGGTGTATTTTGGAGCCATCGTGACGGTGATTACATCAGCTGGTAAGTTATACAGTTATCCGAATCAATCAGGGAATTAATCAGGGCAGCATAATTATTCTACACTGCCTTTTTATCGCAGGTTATGTCAGACATGCGTTACATAACAGCGAGCTAACGTGAAAATTGTAAAGAAAAAATAGTTAAGAAACGCCACTGTTACGTACATAAGTTGTGGTCTATTGGTCATGTCATCTGCAATGGAGGTGTATTGGAGTCTTTTCTTGTGATTGCATCGTAGAGGTGGTAACAACAAGTGTGTAAGGTACCATCGACTACTATATATTAGCGCGTCTAGGTATTTTATATGTCTATGGTTACCATCAACTACTATATTAGCTGCTGCTCTCCACTAACCCACAGAATGGGTTGTGGAGGAACGGACTAGCAATATATAGGAAGTTTGGCTAACAAATATTATGAATGTTGTTTATTTTAAGTTCTGTTATTGTACGGCAGTTTTTTTTTCTGACCATAAAGTGTAATAACACTACAGGCTGTGGTGACTGTCTGTTACAGGAGATTTCTCCAAGCAAAAACACTGATGCTGACTATGAGGGGCAGAATCATCATATGGCCAGCTATCAATTTTATTGAAATGAGGTAACCCAAAATACATTTGATTTGACATTATATTTACAGTCATGCATTTGCCAGATGCTTTAATCCAAAGCAACTTGTGCTGCGTTAGGTACACATTTTATTGAGTTAAAGGCACAATATGTAAGATTTTTTTATTAAAATATACAAAAACCACTAGAACAGTTTTATATATTTTGATGACTTGTGTACTTACATTATCCCAAATGTTTCGAAGAATGTTTAAATCCAGAGAAATAAGCAATTTTAACTAGTGACACGGACCATGTCTATAGTGTCATTCTGTCGTCTGCCAATGACGTCATAACCCCTCGATTTCCGTTTTGTTTGTAGAAAATATGGAAACACCAAAGACGCTTTAATATGCTATGCATTTTATTAGACAGGTGACGACCGCACAGAGTAGCATTAAAACAGAATGTTCAAATGTATCTAGTATGATAAAACAGCGCTGCTTACTTCCGCTGCTTTCCGGAAGGAGCGGAAGCGGTCGACTGTGGCATAATAAAAGCTCCGCTGCTTTCGAGACGTGTATCGCGCTCGTTCAGTGGCCTCGTTTCGCTTCGACGGCTTTCAGCCTCACCCTGCTTCATACTACTGACGTTAATACATTTTTAATACATTAGCTCATTCATGAACATGATTTTCCCATCGGATTGCTTTGGCTGTGGGGATGAAGACGACAACACCCATGATTCCACACCCAGTCACGGCGCCATCTAACTACGCCTTTGTTTCTTTTGAATACGCGCCCTCTAGTGGCAAAAAATTACTAATTGTGCCTTTAAGTTACCTAAACAGTATTTTCAAGTACTTTTGTTTTTTGTTTTCTAGATTGTGGTCTGGATCATGTCATCTGCAATACATTCCAGTTGAAGCGTTCTGTCAACACTGCACTGGCTCCCTATTAAACATCGTATAGATTTTAAAATCTTGCTAATTACTTATAAAGCCCTGAATGGTTTAGCGCCTCAGTATTTGAATGAGATCTTATCTTATTATAGTCCTTCACATCTGCTGCGATCTCAAAACTCTGGCCATTTAATAATAATAATACCTAGAATATCAAAATCAACTGCGGGCAGCAGATCCGTATCCTATTTAGCTCCCAAACTCTGGAATAATCTACCTAACAGTGTTCGGGAGGCAGACAGTTTAAATCTAGATTAAAACCCCCAACTCTTTAACCTGGCTTACACATAACACACTAACACATCTCTATAATTCGAATCCATTAAAGGATTGTTAGGCTGCATTAATTAGGTTAAACGGAACCGGGAACGCTTCCCATAACACCCGATCTACTTGTTACATCATCAGAAGAATGGCATCTACGCTAATATTAGTCTGTTTCTTTCTTATTCCGAGGACACCGTAGCCACCAGATCCAGTCGGTATCCAGATCAGATTGTCACTGCAGTCACCCGGATCCAGTCCATATCCAGCCCAGATGGTGGATCAGCACCTAGAGATGACCTCTACAGCCCTGAATGTCAGCAGAGATCAGGACAACTAGATGAGCCCCAGAGACAGATCCCCAGTGAAGACCTGGTCACCTAGACGGCCACCGGGACAAGACCACGGGAACCAGACGAGTCCTCTGCACAATCTGACTTTGTTGCAACATAGAATTAAATTGCTGGTTTTGTTTGGCCATAGGAGAACGGCACACTATTTCGACACACTATTTCCCTGTTTAATACTGTAGAGCTGCTTTGACACAATCTGCATTGTAAAAAGCGTTATATAAATAATGGTGACTTGACTTGGCTCTACTGTTTGATCTACATGAATGCATTATAAGGAATGGAGCGTTAATAATTTGTGATGGATTATCAATTAATTATGCACCTTCCTTGTAGGTGCGTTCAGATAGTATAGTGTTAATTAATCTCAAAGCACATACAGCACAAAGTCTGACAGTTGGGGCAAATTCTGTAAACACTTATTTGAAATATATATATATATTTTTGTGCTTTCAGTTTTTGTGCTTGCAGGTTCATTCCGAGAATCAACCCTGGTGGCACCAAATTCCATTCAGAGTCACAGATCAGACGGAATTCAGGAAAGAGGGTGCAAAGAAAAAGCATCAGCCTGAATCCCCTCATGGTGTTTCTCATCAGAGAGCTTGTCAGCTTTGCCAAAATTACTGAAATTGAACACCACCACAAACTAATTTTTACTGCATTTTATTTCTGTAAAGCCTGTTTTGCCATTCTACAGATACAAAGTCCCCAGGGGATTGTGGTGATGCCCTTTTTTCAGCTAGTGTATGCTAGTGATGAAGATTTGTAATTTGTATTTTTAAAAAGAAAATGTTCAACAATTAAAAAGAATATTATAAAGACAAATGCTAGTGAGTTATTGTGATTTTTATGGGGTTGGGGTTGTAAAAAAAATATGCTATTCAGTGTTGTACCACAATTGGATTGTTTTATACAGGTAAAAAAATGAAAATAAACTGAACAGTACTACTGACAATACAGTAATAATACTTTAAATGAAAATACAGTAATAATACATCCAGCTACTGTAAAATTTACAGCAATCTCTTTACAGTGTAGTTTAGGTGCCTACCAGTTTGGCACCCAAACGAGCAGTGGGGGAATAAAATAAAAACATTCGCGAGCTGTGAGCATCTTCCAGACCTGACAGCAGCAAATATCAATAAAGGTACATTTTCTTTCTTTTTCTGAAATCACTCCTGTTATACTGCACATTTGTTAATAATTTAAATATATTAACAAATATATTTAATCATCTTGTATATGACACTCTCATAATAATCTATTTAATTAACGGGTTAATCAATCTTTTATAAAGCCTCTTTGTGAGTTGAAGCAGGGATGGGCAAACTTGGTACTGGAGGGCCACTGACCTGCAGTTTAGCTTTAACCGTAATCAAACACACCTCTACCAATTAACTTAGTTAGGATTACTAGAAGGCTACAAGGTAGGCGAGTTTTATCAGGGTTAGAGCTAAACTCATTTAATATTTAAACAAAAATCAAATGTACAGTGTAACGGTGATTGATTTCAGAAAAAGAAAGAAAATGCACCTTTATTGGTTGCCGCTGTCAACTCCAGAAGATGCTCGTGCAGCTCTTTTTTTTCTCCCTACTGATAGGCGCCCAAACTAGCTCTTCTGATTGGCCAAAATTCTCTGATCTCTGAAGAGTGCCCGCCGTTGCCTCTACAGATGCAAAATCACTTTGGCACCATTTTTCACACAGATATGTGGTGCAAAAGGGAGAGTGCACAAAACTTGTCATTTGCAATGCAGGTGTGTGAATGTGTTTTGCACCATATTCACTGCAGCAATAGTAGCAAAACATGTGAGCGTACGAGTTTCTTGATTTGTGATTCGCAGAATAGGATTTGTGCACCTGCAATGAAGGATTCGAGAAGGTGTAACTGTTGTGTTGTGTTTGTGGGAGAGAAAAAAAAAATCTACAAGTATGCAACTTTTGTCTGTGACTTCAAATTTACTGATACACATGTGTGGCTATTCTCTACAACTACAAATTCCGCTGTCACAGACGCTCAGTTGTTTTGCACCAAAAATAGCTTCATACATTTAAGTCGCCCAAAAAGGACATGAGCTAAAGTTAAAGCACCTCTGTGTCTGCTAAAGTGGGTCGAAGTGCCATTCCTGTTGCTGTGCTGCAGTCCGTGCCGACTCCGCAGCTCAAAGGAGGCTGTGTGGAGCTGGCAGGCAACCTGCTTCTAGTCTCCCAAGGTGCTGGGAAATGATAGAAGGGTGTTGGTCTCCAGGCAGATTCGATCAATCAGCAGTTAGAGGGCAGTGGTGCAAGACACACAGAGGGGCACGTAGGGAACAGGATTGAGCGAGGATGGGCATGTGTACACATATACACACACAAAAACAACAGCTGGCTGTCGGCTGTCAACTGAAGTAGGAGGCAGAGAATGATGGCCACAACGGAAACATATTGTAAGAGTTCACGTGCACACACATAGAAGTCCTAAAGGGTCAAAGAGACACACACAGATCTAAATACTAAGTAAAATTTCTCAACCAAAAAAAAAAGGGGT